AAGCATTTAAGTCATATGAATAAGATGTGACTAAATTTAGTATGCTGTTTTACGTTTGATTGTACGTAATTTACTGTTAATTGGATTACTCCAGCGATCAATGAACTTTATCCTTCAGAACTTCAGAACTCCATAAAAGAATGAATGAAATAAAAATGTAGCAGGAGCATAGCTTATGGAATTTCGGTATTATTTATACAAATGTATACAGGTGGGCGTCAACAGATGTTCTTCCTCATATTTCCGTTACCTAGTGTCAATTGAATTGATACAAAAAGCTTTATTAAGCTTACGCGCCTACAGATAGGCAACTAAGTTTTGAAAATATATAAAATGATTTAGTTAAGTACTTGTAGCAATTATTTATTAATAATAACTTACAAAAATAGTAAACAAATATTTAAATTTTTTATTTATGTAATGTCACAATTATTTATTTTTACACGGCCTTCCACATATAGTACACACGCACTCGTATATGTGCAGTTTTACATTTTATACACGTTTTTAATGAAATTCAGCACGTGACATTTTTCCATGTAATCAGCTCGCGTTGAAACGCCAATAAGTCTCAACGTTTAGTCGTGCTTAAGCTACATTCGTGTATGATAAATACGGTAAACAAGTTAATTATTTGTGTGTATTTAAGCACTCACCAATATGCTCTCACTTTTAATCCAGTTACTTGTGTGTTGGCCAACATTGAAATTCCGTCGTTCGTTGAACACCTACTGAGCTTTATGCAAATTTTTATTGGGCATCAACTGCCTATTGGCTTAGTAAAAAAAAAGTGAATGCAATCAATTCAAGTTATTTTTCTTGAAATGGGGAATACACTTTCCCGCGGAAGTAGTACAGTCAGCCCCAAGAAAATTGAATATCATTTAAATATTATTTTAATAGGAGAACAAAAAAGTTCCATATTGTCTGTTATAAAGTTAAATTTGTTTATGTAATATTATTAAGGAGGTCATAAGGGTTAAAACTCCAAATGACCATTGAGGAAGATTTTGTAAGTAGATTTTGTTCGAAGAGTTTCAAGAAGGTCAAACATTTGAATAGGAAATATTTGCTCTCCTGTTCGATTCACAAGGAATGAGTATTCAACTCTTGGTAATGCTCACTCACCACTTTGAAAATCAGGGCAAATTTAAATAACCCCCAATTAAACAACATCAATTTTAAATATACTTTTTATTGGAAACATTTTTTCATTGCTCTTATTTACAGAAAACTGTATATATATAACATTCTTTACATGGTCATCGATTTGGGAATCGGGCTTGCCTTCACGTGGTGTATCCTTTTCACTACCATTTAGCAGCTTGGAGAAGTGTTCCCTTCATAAATTCATTATGAAATGGATATCATTCGCTTGATAACCTCTCTGTGCCCTCAAAGAGTTTGCTCCGATCCTGAAAATTTCTTTAGGCCGCCGCATCTTTTCATAGAATTTCCGAAGAGCAATTCCAAGATCTTTATACCCATGAATCTGGGACTATTCCTTTTTGTATTTACATAGGCGTCTTGTTTTCCTGTTGAAGTTAGGCAGCATGGTTTCTCTGCACTGCGATAGGGCTATCCTCATCGCACCAGTTGTACATATAGACCTTTGAAAATGCCCATAGTTCTCTTATGCCAAGTAGCCGAAGAGTGCTCTCAGAGTCAGTATTGCAAGTCGAGTAGAAAGCGGTTCGGCTGCCTGTAGAGAATGCAGCTTTCCGACGACAAATCTTCATTATGCTTGTTAACGTGTATTCTTTGCTGCATAGAGGCGGTTTGGGTAGTGCCGAAATTACCTTTTTTGCTCAACCTATCGTTAAAGTGGCCAAACACGATTTTCACATCGTGGCGCTGCCTCGCTCATGAGCACGCTCTAGGCGCTCATAAAATTTATCCTTGGTCACATCGAAATTCTCTTCCGTTGGTGGATAGAAATTGGCGATTTGTTAAACAATTTCGCTTTAATGTGAATTAAGGCGAGCCGTTCATCTACCAGAGTGAATGCTAGGTGACAGAATCATTCTTCAACCGCGAGTCCCATACCAAATTTGTGCTCCTCTATATGGTGGCTGTAGTAAATGTCGCAAACACCTAAGTCTATGGCTCCAAAACCTTACAGATTAGATATGCAAATTTACTTCATGCTATTACTTACTGTCTAGAAATCAAAGAGAATCTTCAAAATAATGAAAATGTATTTTTCGGGTTTTCGTGGAACATTGAAGATAATCCCTTGAAGACGTTCTGGTGCAACAGTATAACAAGAAAAAAGTTCGAAAACCAATATTATAGATTGCAAAGTTCGTCTATGGATATGAAACTTCAAGGTTAAAAGCCTACACCGAGTACTGTACGGAGGTAATGTGTGAGCAAAATGGAGCGTTTGAAGGCTAAAATAAATATAATATCTTTGCACTCCTTTTACTCTATTGGGATGGGTTGATTAATGCCAATTCTTCCAGCTTTTACAAAATTTTCCTAATATATGTACCTCCAAAATCCTTTGCAAAACTTTTCAAAAATACTAAATTTACATAAGACCATTTAGCTTATGTGGCTATCAAACGAAATCCACAGACCAAATTACTACCCGAGAAAAACCACGGTAGGAAGATTATATGAAGGTGGGAAACAGTTTTGAAACTTCGAAAAAGTATACATTAAAGTATCTCTAAATATAATGCTACAAAAAGTTAGTTTCCTTATAGAATAGATATTTTAAGGAAGTTGATACAGCCGCTCTCAAGGTTTTGGTGGAATATGAAGGAAATTATAGCACACACAATTTTTGCAATATTTTTTTCAAATACAAGTATTTATTTTCAAACACCTTATTGTTTTATGAGTTATAACAAGAGAGTATGAATTTGCTTTAAATTTTATATGTAAGAAATTACTATTTTATTATAAAAAATAGGCATTTTATAGAAAAAAAAACGAATGACAAAATTGAGTTGTTGGCCTTAAACTTTAAGCTTCTTTTTTAACTTTTTTTCAGAATTTTTTTTTACTGTTTTTAAAGGGTGATTTTTTAACACCGTGGTTTGAACAGCTTACCCACGTTTCGTGTTTTGTATCACTGTCAAAAATCTTCAGTTTGGTCTATAATTTAACCTCGAATCGTCTTAAAAACGAAGAACAATTTTATTATCAAAACGCGTGCTCTGTTAAGAAAGTTCAAAAAAAAAATGTGCATAAATAAACAGAATTGTCGATTTTGGAGTGAAGATCATGCAGAGACTACCAATGCAGAAAAAGTCACAATTTGGTGCGCTTTATGTGCTGGAGGCATCATTGGACCGTACTTCTTCACAGATGATGCGAATCATAACGTAACTGTGAATGGTGAGCGCCACCATGACGTCTTTAGAATATTTTTTATGGGGCTATCTTAAATCTAATGTCTATACAGACAAGCCCGCTTCTATTGACGCATTGGAGTACAAAATTGAAGAATAAATTTGTGAGATACCGTCCGAGTAAAGGGTAATCCAAAATAGAACTAAGCGGATGGTCCATTTGAGGCACAGTCACGGTCAACATTTGCATAAAATAATATTCAAACATTAAATTATATGGAACGTACTATCGATTCAAATAAATATTTCAAACATTTTCCTGAATTTATGTATGTGTTTTATTTTTTGAAAAACTTTCCTAATGCTCTTAAAAAAAAGTCACCTTTTAGCTTCACATTTATGCCCATTTAGCTGGATCACTGGAAAAATCCCATCGGCACTGATTATATAATTTTCCGTGAGAAATTTAAAAATCAAGTTAAATATGAACTAATTTTATTCTATCTAAAATTCTTGACTAGTAGTTCTACTCCTTAGACATCTTTTCTAATGTTGTCAGTCGGAATAAAAAAATATAATATTACTTTACATTTTAAGATAATGCGTGTTATATGCTTCTTTACCCTAGCGTTTGCCGTTATTTTATAAACGCTTTAGATTAAATTCCAATGGTAGATTGTGTGAGCAGAGAGTCATCAAATACCGATCAGCAAGCATAAAAATGTTTGGTTAGTCGAAATCAAGATAAGGTTGAGAATTGTTTGCTCTATTAATTTAACTCTCAGTCTGACTATATAAGAGACTTATTAGGATGTGATTACTTAATGGCAATGTAATAAATTGAAATTAAAATTTTGAAGGAGTGAATTTATCAAAAGGTCAAATGAAATCTTTCCTGCAGTGGTTTCGATTATATATGGACATTCGCTAAGTTCAAGAGCAAAAAATAAGCATTGAAAGAATTTAAAGAACTTTTTGTTATTTATATGGAAAATGTATAGTTTTAAAAACGACATTTAATATGAGTATTATTGCTTCTGCTCTTTAGGCTATTGACTAAGAATTTAGGAAGCGCTGCAAGCATACAAAGCTACTTGGTAAATGGCCGACACCCTACAGTGCATAGCTCTTTTAGGTAGGCGGTTTATGCTCAACCTCTACTCGCCCATTTCCATTACCTACAACAAGTGGAAAATTAACCATATGCCAACTGAAAAAGTCCTGGCCGCCACAAATGAGTGAGCTTGCAAGCGGTTTGTTGTCTATTAGTACAAAGGTCGTGGATATTTATTCAACATAAATACTTAATTTAATAGCCAAAAAGTAAAATAGCTTGGAACAAATGCTGGAAAGTAACAATTACTTTCAAGACTTTGCCATTTTTCCAACCTGGTTCAGGCAAAGTTTATAGGACTTTTTCTGTATTTTGAATTGCCTTTTAGTTAGAATGAAATGCCTTTTAGTTAGTTAGAAGGAGAAGGTTAGGCCTAATACTTGGTAGCGAATTGGTGAAGCACATGCCACCAAGGGGCGTTCCTATATCCTTGATACACTGACATTTGTGTTTAATTAATGCACACTTCCTGCTTAAGCATGCAATATAAAAACGGAAGGTCACTACAAGCTTCCTTCAGTCACAAAAAGTTCATTAACTAATTTAATTACATTTGTAAAACAGATTTATTAAAAACTATAAAAATGTCTGATTTATTGTTTGGTCGCGGTCAAATCGTTTATAAATCACGTCATGCGCTAACGTACCTTTTCAATATCTTCACTTTCGTCGGAACAAATCCGCTTGGTGGACAGTCATATGCCTATTATTCTCTTTATTATCTCTATTCATTGCTGGTAAACTTTGTTTGCTGCATCTTTTGTCCCATCTCATTTCACATTGGCTACATAAAGCTGCTGAATGTGCTGAACACCAATGAATTACTCTCGGCCATACAAAATGCCATACAAGTGTCGGGCATCCCAATAAAAATCATTGTCATAGCATGGTATATGAAACGTCTGCAAAGTGTTTGTGAAATACTGGATAAATTAGATGAGAATTACAAGCGTGCCGAAGATCTAAACAGTATACGGCGGTGCGTGCGATCCTGTTGTAAAATAATCGCAGCATTTTGTGTGCCCTACTACGGTTTTGAGTTGTCTACCATTGCATTCGGGGTGTACCAAAATCGGGCACCTCTGACTATTTGGCTGCCATACTTTGATGCTACACGTACCACTTGGGAGTACTGGACTCACGTTGGCTGGGATGTATTCATTATGCTTTTTCTACTAGCTCATCAATTAGGCAGTGATACATATCCGCCGGTATTTATTTCTGTTATACGTCTGCACATGCAATTGTTGGTGGAACGTGTAAAACGTTTGGGTACGAATAAGGCTTTGTGCAGAGAGAAAAGATATGCTGAGCTTTTGGTCTGTATTAACACATATGGTCAGATTTTAAGGTAAGAGCATCGTCGTTAGTTGCACTGCATTGCAAATAAATTTGTTTGTTCTACTCTTCCCCAGCATTGCGAACATTGTTGCGCCTGTTATTTCCATCACACTCTTTACCCAGTTCGCCACCACAGCCACCACGGTGTTGAATTGGTTCGGCAACATGAAATTTCCAGATAACATCATACCCATGGCATTCTTCAGTTGTCAAATTATGCAAATTTTGCCATGTTGCTATTATGCCTCTCAGCTGATTGCCGACTGTGAGCAGTTGCCCTATGCCATCTTTCATTCTGATTGGCTTGAAGAGGATCGTCGTTATAGGAAAACTATTTTGTTTTTCTTGCAGCACACTCAAACTCCGATTCGATTTTCCTGCTTGAAGCTTTTCGGTGTTACTTTGGCAACAAGTATTTCAGTAAGTTAACTGTATTTATTTGAATTAACAAGAATACGCGTCTACAGCGGGAAATGTTTTTCTAGATTGGGAAATTCGCATTCTCGCTTTACACGTTCATCCAAGGGAAAAATCACTAATCTAATGTGTAATTATGAATTTGCTAAATAAAAGTCGAAATAAAATTGGGCGGATAGCTTTAATATAATAGGTCAAGTAAAAAGTTTGTTCGGTTTTTTATTGATTTTTCAAAATATGATAACTTTGTGTACATTTGTCCGATTTAAGTCAAATATGCGCCGTTTTGTTCATAAGCTTATTCCCAACAAGATGCTGCTTCCCTATTGGCAAAAAACTCGGAGAACCAATTTTCACAGGCCTCTCTTGAGGGCAACTTCTGACCATGGACAGGAAAAGATGGTAATCACTTGGTGCTAGGTCCGGACTATAAGGTGGGTGCATTATGACCTCCCATCCGAGCTCTTAGCGCGTCACCTAAGACGTTTGTGGCTTGGTGTTGTCCTGATGGAACACAATTCGGCCTCTGTTGACCAAAGATGGCCTCTTGTGGATGAATGCTGCCTTCAAGCGGCCCATTTTTTGCCAGTAGAGGACCGAGTTGAGCGTTTGGCCCTAGGGGAGCGGCTCGTAGTAGATGATTTCTTGCAAAATCCCACCAAACACACAGCAAAACCTTCCTGGCCGTCAATCCGGTCTTGGTCACGGTATGGGTCGCTGCCCCGAGCTTTGACCACAACCGTTTACGATCGATGTTGTCCTAAGTGACCCATTTTTTCATCACCAGTTACAATCCGCTTCAGAAACGGGTCGATTTTGTTGCGATTCAGCGGCGATACGTAGATGTAAATCCAAATGGTTCCAAACGGTTTTTTGGAGGAGGAACTCGAAATGTTATGTGACTGAAATGATGCTCGATAATTCGGACACAAGATTCCTAGTGAAATACACAGTAGGTAGTATACAATGCTAACCACTCGGCTACTGCGTACTTCAAACTGTTGAGTTGAAAATAGTGCCGTAGTGCCCATTGAGGTTATGGCGGAATAAATTCTCCAAACTGCTTGCAGGCGATGGCTTCAGCTCTACTGCAAACTTTGGCTAGTAGAAAGCATGCTTATTTGTTGGAATATTAGATACTTTTCTATTCCAAAGATGTGCTACCCGGCAATGAGCCGCAACTACCGAGGAATCAGCATTATTGCCATCCCATGCTAGGTCATGTCGAGCGGAAACCTCAAGCCATTTTCCAATTCAATTATTGGACCCTCTCATGAATTGTATATTCATATCTAATCTTGGAAATAACCCACAAAGTGCATCTTAAGTTTTTTCGATTTCTAAAAAGTGACGTGTCATCTCTTACCCTAATCACTCTGGGCCAGGTCTGGAATGTAGGGTGGGTGACTATGCATATTTCGATTTAATAAATTGTTCTATTTTGTTCCACCCATGCGCATCTATCTCCATAAGGCTGTAGTTTGAAGCATCGTTGACGCCTCAATTGACTGAAGCCCGGGGACTCCAAAGTTGTTTCCTCCTCTGTGCAGGCTTTACACCTTGCCCATTCTAACAGACCTAACTTTTAGAGATGATATCTTAGAGTTAGATGCCTCGACAGTATACCTACAAGAATTCGTAGCTCTCTTATGATATGTTCACTTAAGTTCCATGGTTTTAAAAAGGATTCGAAGTCGTTGAAAGGTCTGATAGGGCAGTCAATGGTAGCAATTTTGCTGGTGACGAACTGGGTGGGTGTTTCATCTAGACATTTCCTTATTGGAAAAGCGTTATCAAGAGAAATGGAGTTCAAAAATTCTTGGAACGGACCTACCAAAATCCTCATTATCGCGCTAAACAATACCAGAAGCGAGCCGTAAATGAGGACAAGATATCAAGCAAACGATCGGCACACTTACGCTTGGCTCCCACATCAATGTTGAAATCCAACTACCAGCAATCTAAGTATCACTAATGCCAAAAGCTGCTTCTTTAGACTGAGTAGGCAATTGACGAACAAAACCAAACACTACAAGTGCCCATCATTTTCGTCCCGCTAGAAGGGATGGACGAGTTAAAAGGTGGCACAGATATGTTTCAGCAAATGAAGCGGCTACGCTGGTTGATATTTCCAACTGGCGCTATTGTTGATTCAGCTATAATCGTGTAAGCGGTGCCCACGCCAATAAAGAAGAAGATAGGAAGAATAGAAGAAGTTTATTTTATTGATTCAATATGAAAATGGTTGGATTATTTGTTGTAATTTAATTTTTTTTTATAATTTTTTATTATTATTTTTTTGTTTTTGCATACAACACATACATATGTATGTATATAAACGACCTAATTAACTACTCACTGCAATACTCCACAAATGTCGTGTTAAATTTTATAATAAAGTAAAGGTCATCAGATAGTTTCACCCTTCTTTATGTATTATATTTAATTTTATTTTCAAATCACTTTCGTGTTAAGAAGAATACAATACAAATTATTTTTATTTAAACCTCTTCAAGCACGAGATCAACATTATTGCATGCATAATCACTTAAATCAATTTCGATTTTTGCATTTTCCACTGTCATTAGTAAAAAGCATTTTATTTCATTATGTAAATAAAAAAAAAATCTAGTAAAAAAGGAGAAAAAAATTAGATAAAATTCTCTTCACGTTTATTTAATGAAATAATCTTTATTTTAATAGTTGACTGTAACATACATATAATTGTACACACGTACATATGTAATTAGGTAAATGTGTGAATATAGTGAATTTATTTTGCATAGAAATAATTAACACTGCGAGTGCTGCCAGTGTTGTGTTTTTTTTTCAGAAAACCAGCTAAATGGCGAAAAATTTAAGCAATAAACAGACAAAAAAAAAATTTGTAAAAAAATATTCATTTGCTTTTTATGAAAAAACTACTATTAAGAAAACAAAAAATAATATTTAAACTTCTAAAAATTGAAAAAAAAAATCGTGCTCTCATTTCACAGTTTTCAATATATTTTAAATACATTTTATGTGGAAAAATTATGTAAAATTTGTCCACGCCAATATATTCCGTTCAGTCCATTGAGGTGCGACTTAATTGAAATATCTAATTTATAAATGATCTAACTTCTTGGAGCAAATTGACAAAAAAGCTTCAAAACTACTTTACACTCTCATATAATCTTTCTAATGTGGCTTTCTCAATGCTCTGGAATATTTTTCAGATCTTGGAACCATTTTGGACTGTGGTTTTCGTTTTTTAACCACATAAGTTAAATCGTTCCCCATTTAAGTTTACCATTTTTGCGACATTATGCAAAGGACTTTCGAGATCCTTATACTAAGTAAATTTTTTACAACTCTTCCGTTCGTTGAAAGCTCGTATATGAATCTTATAGAAAGTGCCCGCTACTTCGTCCTGATGATTTTAATAAGTTTTTTATTCATTTATTACGAAATTTATTTCATTATAACTTCAACATGTTCTTTTAAAAAAAAAATACGCTACTGACTAGCTTACAACAAAAAAATAAAAAGTAAAAAACTACAACAATTAAACCCGTCGCACATGTAGCTTAATGGATTAACCATTGGTTCGGGCTGTGGGCAAACCAGGTTCGGATACAATTCGAACCGGGCCGTTTGGGCAACAAGTCTAATGAGAAAACGAGGATTCTGAAATACGAATAGCAGCTATAACTTCTACTGCCCAAACTGTTATAACATTTTTTTCACCTTCCCAAGAAAAATATGAACTGAGTCGACTCAATAAATTTTAGTAATCCAACAGAACAATAACCTCAAAAAGCATTTATAAAATATTGATTATTTATATTCGATCTATAATTCAACAAAAAGGCAATTTTGAATAACCTTTCCATGTTTCCTTAGTAAGGAATTTATATATATAAACTGTAAGTTTTTATTATGAAGAAACTTTGCAATATCGATTTGTCTTTCTTCATAGACACTTAATGAGTGCATAGAACCTACTGTTGTTGTGTTAAAAAATGATAAATTTGCCGCTTCGTACAATTTTATAGTAATTTGTGGAAATATAAATTTTTCCAAATCCAAGCCAAGCTAAAAGCAGCAGGAAATTGTTCCAAAAAAATTCAAAAAGGAACCAAATCTAAATTTCACTTCCCCGGCTAAACGCCAAAAAGAAGAAGTAAATCTAGTTGTAAAAAAGCTAAAATGATAGCACTGATTACTGTGCATAAATGAAATTTAAATTAAAACAACAAAAATACATATTAATGTACATTTATATAATGTATGCTTTTTTGCATTTTCCGCTGATTGTGCATATTTGTCATATATGTACATACATACATATGTTTGTATGTACTGCATTTTTTTCAATTAGCATATTAATATTTATATGTAAATTTACACGAATGCATAAATATAATTGATTCTACACTATAATTTTTCACTGTTAAATTTGCAGAAGCACCTGACTTTTACAGTTGTAATTATATGTACATATGATTATTAATCGAATATATGAATATAGAGCGCTAATCTCAACTCTTTGGAAAAAAGTTTGTATACACATACGAGTGCATACATAAAATTAATTTTTTATTTTTTGTCAAAAATATAGTCGGAGGAAAAATTATGTTTCAATAATTTGGATATTGATCGAACCAGGACTCCAGCTCTGGCTGTACGCAATGATAATCACTCGGTTTTGTTTTTTATATCGTTGGACAAATATTAATTAATTTAGAGTTTAGAACTTTTGTGGCTTATCGACAAAGAACTTGAACGAATCATTTTCAGCAATGCTCCTGTCTGCCAAAGTTTTACCATCAATAGAGTTTCGTTTTTATTATTTTTTTATTGTTA